GAGCTCTGTTCAAAACTTGAGAGCCCTGTTCCTTTATAGCCCAACATTAGCCACGTTCCTGCACACCGGACACAATTCATGTTAAAAGACGTACGAAAGTGCATTTGCATGATAGGTCCCCTTTAAAGCACAGACTGTAATAAATCAGGTGTCCACTACTGCACCAAAATATGAATGGGGCGAAGCCTGCGAGCTAGTTCAGGCAGTCAACTCGAGCACCAATGATACATTAACACGTGACGCACCTCGTCCCTCTTACCCTTCCTGCCTCTGCCTCGCTAATCATACACACGCACTTTTGGAAATTAATCTGGCGCCGCTGGTATTAGTAGTGAACCTAACTAAGTTATATGTTATACATGTATAGTAGGTTGCAGCTCATAGAAACTGCCGGATGCTAACCTGCAGATGTTGGGACATTTGCACATTTAGCATAAGTTTCAAATTAAAATGAATTGCATTATAGCCATGTAACAATAGTTTAAAATGTCTTGGCTGATTTGGACAGTTGAGGAGTGGTCTGGGGGGTTATTGAGGATCCTGAATCCATTTCTGACATTTTCAGAATGCTCAAATGACAGCTTCAGCCCGAAAGTGGCCATATCTGTACTCTCTACATGAGTAGTGTTGGACCATTGGATATAGAGAGCACAAGATGTTCATCATTATATCCACTAAGGACAATTCTTTTTCAAATAAATAGGCATTCTGTCCAAGTGAGTCCCCTACACCTTCAAAATCTATCTAAATCAGTCCAAAGAGAGTACACATGTAGACCATTTCTGTTTAAAACTGCAATTTGTATCCTAACATGTCAGAATGAACTCAGCATTCCCTAAAATCACTCCAAATCAGTCAGGCCATGTTTAAACTATTGTCCCCATAGGCTATCATTCTGTTTAATGCAACTTGTGCTCATTGTGTAAATGTCCCAACACGCAGGTTAGCATCCGGCAGTTTCTATGAGCTGGAGACCTCTCTACATTTCTATCGTAACACTTTGGGGTATTCAACATTTCCAGGTTCACTAAGCTGGACTATTAGCCAGAATTGAGATCGTTCAGTCGTTAACAATCAGCTTTATTTTAAACCCAGACTGTAATAAAAACTCAGATTCATTTTGAAGCAGATGATTGGTGTTGGTTAACGTGAAGCTCATCTGGAACTTTAACATTATGATAGTGTATTTATCTAAAGGTATTCTGCTTTCCCTGATGTCTCCTGTGGTGTTGTTGGTGCTAGTGTAAGTAAATGGTCTGCAGAGCCTGTTAGTTTCCAGGTTTCTAAAACACTCGATGAACAGAGTTTAGTGTTTCAGTCCCTTTATTGAAGCGAGTCGCTGAGGATTCTTCTGTATGAATAAAATGATCATTCCTCCAGACTTCGTAAGGAAGATCCTTATAAATAATGAACCGAAAATCTTCACACATTGTTTAATGATCATTTAAATAACGTTTCCCTCTAATATTATGAATCATAGCGCATCGCGTCATCAGATCATTAACACATGGTTCAAACCGTTTGAGCTTCTTGGTTTCACAGCTCCTTTCACGGCGAGTTGGTCGACGCGTGTTTCTTCACGTGTTTGCGGAAGGATACTTCGAGAATGGAATTGAACTTTGGTCCGATGGTCGTGTGTCGTTCGACGAGGAGACGCTTGATTTAATCACCTGACGATTAATGATCACACGTCAGATGTTTAGTTCTCAGTTTAAGCTGCTCTACGTTCCGACTTGCCAACATTCGCCCTTCCCTTTCTGTCTGCCGCTACTTGTACCGGCGAGTTTGTCCCCTCGTCTTTATTCGTCTTCAGATTGAGTTATGATCAAACTTGCGGACACGGTGCAGTTAGCCCCAGAATACTTTGGACATCAAGCTGAATTTATTTAGTTGCAGTTAGAGATGGAGGCTCTGGAAGAATCAATGATTGCAGCTCAGATGTTAATATATTCTGGATGTAATGTCACTCATTCTGAAGCTGCAACATCTGCATTATCCTGTCTGTCCGTCGCTCCTTATCGAGGCTAGTCTCGTGTTTCTTCATGTGTTTGTGGAAGACGCGCGCTCCGCTCAGGTCCTTCTTGCAGATCTGGCAGAAGAGGCTTCGGAGTGCATCTTCATGTGGTAGGTGGATCCGGGGGCGGCTGAAGCTCTTGCTGCAGAACTTACACTGGAATCGAACCCCCGAGTGCTGCCGCTCGTGGCGGCGCATCGCGCTGGAGAAGGTGAAGCTCTTGCTGCAGGTGCTGCATGTGTAGGGTCTCTCCCCGCTGTGGGTCCTCTGGTGCTCCTTCATGTGCACCTGCAACAGAACGCCACAGGTTAAATCCTGACAAATGAGAAAGCTTTAAGTCCTAAAACTACCTGAGCCCTGGTCTGGAGGGCAACGGTTTTCTGGATGTGTTTTTGGTTATCCTGAAATAAGTCTGTGGTTAAAACAAGCTGAAGAGATTTTAACATTTTGTTCTACGACATAAATTAGTCAGTAAATACCCCACTGGTGGATTTAAAAATGGCGGCCCCTTTAGCTTAGCGGTGGTGACGTGAAGTCATGTGACCGTGCTGTAGTTCCTTTATAGCCCAACATTAGCCACCTTTAGCTTAGCGGTGGTGACGTGAAGTCATGTGACCGTGCTGTAGTTCCTTTATAGCCCAACATTAGCTTTTTACCCCAGAAATCACAAAGTGGTGTTAATATGTGGAGATCATCCTGCTGAACTAAACATGTAAGAATCATAAACGAGATTATTTGGTGACATAATCCGAAATCACATGGAGACATCCCATTGGACCAGGGAGATGCTGCCTTCAGGGACCAATACAGAAATACGTCATCACTGTACCACTTCATGGAGTCGTAAAAACAAAGGATTATGGGTATTCCCCAGAGCCACAGTGGATTCTCCATAGGGTAACATGTCTGTGGAATAGACCTGTTGAATGAGCAGCATGTTGACGCACCTGCTGTGTGAAGCTCTTCTTGCAGGTGGGGCACTGGAAGGGTTTCTCCCCGGAGTGGATCCTCAGGTGTTTCTGCAGCGCCGACGTCTTGAAGCAGTTCCGACCGCAGACCCGACATCGGTACTTATTCTTCCCGTCTGCCTCCGTCTCTGAGCCGCCATCTTGTTCTGTCAGTGACACATTCAGGGATTATCAGAGAGAAGCTTTGTTTACTTAAAGAGGCCCTATCCTGCTGTCTGTGGTGTTCCCTCTCAGTTTGTGTGAACAGAGGAAATACAGTTTCCCACAATCTCAAATACAAAAATATATAAAAATATGTATATACCTAAATACACTTCAATTCATTATTTTGAGGAAAAGTGCGAATATTAAGATTTTGAGGAAGAAAATCATAATTTTGAGTGACAGAGTGACAGAGTGAGTTCTATGGGTTGAACGTTAACGGTCTGCAAAGGCTCAAATCCCTCTTTAATATCTGCTGACGTACCGATTTGAGACGGTCCCAAGGACTCTTCCTCCCCGTCAGAGTTTATTAAACTGCTGATGACTCCTCCCTCCTCTTCCTCCTCCTCCTCCTCTTCCTCCTCTTTTGGCTGCGAGGCGTCTTCATGGACGTGCGGTCTGGACTCTGCGGAGGGAGAAAGCTCCTCCGCGTCCTGGGAACAAACAGAAAGGAAACAATGTCTTAATAACATAAAACAACTATTTAGTCTCAGGCAACACAAAGAGTGTGTGTGTGTGTGTGTGTGTGTGTGTGTGTGTGTGTGTGTGTGTGTGACAGAGTTCCCCTTAGCTGGTAATTACCGGACTATGACCGGTAAAATATGCTGAAGACCGGCAAATCTAAATCTCTTCGGTCAAAATAATTTCTCTTTAGCGCAATACCGCTTCAGTTGCGCCACTTATGTGACAGACAAGAAGAGTATGTGACAGACAATAATAGTCAATTCTAATGTCTAACACGTAATGTGGAGAAAGAGATGTCCTGTCTGGGTTGATTGTGCGTTGATCTGTTGGTAATGCCTCGGGGTTCCGGTGGGCATGTAAACAAATGCATAATGCTGCGCTATACTTTGTGGCCTCACCCAGTTGCATAGCGACACTTATTGTTTAGGTGTCTTTTAATAAGCAGGTAGTCCTATCACTAGCTAGAACTAGCTGGATCTGATCGATATGGACATAAACGCGAGTGAAGTCTAATCTGACGGGAGAGAGAGATCAGCTGCTGCTGACGAGTCGACACGCAGCTCTGCATGATCACCTGCAGCGGTGAGCGGACAAAACACACACTTCAGGTTAGAATATCACACGTAGCTATTTTAATTACCTCTCAAACTACCTAAACTAGTTATAGATATGTTTAGTTTCACTGTCGGGTCACTCATTACTGGATCCGCTGCTGCATGGTACTGACGGGCTGTCAGGAGAGGGAGTGTGTGTTTGTAGGTGTGTGTGTGTGTGTGTGTGTGTGTGTGTGTGTGTGTG